CAAGTCTATTCTTCTGTCTGCAATACCAATCTGTACATTTCTGAATCCAGTTCCCAAATCTGGATCCTGAACCTGGTTCCCAACTGCTGCTGAGTCCAGCCTGAGATTTCCCCAGTGCCAGCCCTGCAGTGTCACAGGTGACATATCATCAGGGGGGTTGGTTTCAATACTGGTTTTGTACATATTTGTATGCATTTCATTATTCTCTTATTAGTATTATCTTTTATTTTTATTGTTACTGTTTCATTAAGGCTGTTCTAGTTTTCTTTCCCAAACCCGAAAGTGTCTCTCCCTTATTCTCTCTCTCTTCCCCTTCTGGGATGAGAGAGGTGTTATAGAGAGTGTCTGGCATTTGTTAGTGGCCAGCCCAGCACTAACCCATGATATTTGGTTTCTATACAGTTCTCAAAACAACATTCATTCCAAACTTAAGTGCCATCTTGGGCAAGGTCTACTCACAACTTCTCATACATGCTACATATGACGCTGTGATTGGGTGTGGGATATTTGTGTCCTGAAACTGAGATGGAAGACAGTAAACTTGTTATAAACATCAATATGTATAATTACTATTATTGAATTAATCTCCATAGAAGGAAGTAGTTCACCGCTTTTACAAGCCATTAAACGGCCAGCTTTAGTTCAAACTTAAAAACACTCCTGGACATAAGGCTCACCTTCCATTTTTAATACACAGGAGAGCAAACTAAGTTTCATCTTTGAAGGAGGTTAACCAGTTCCTAGACTGGTTTCACCTTGCATGTTTTGATTTGCGCACATCTCAGTCAGGTTACTTAATTACTTTTTCCCACTTGCCCCCAGCGATGTCATCAAGGCAACAAACAGGCTGCATCCTGAACACCAACAGCGCTAACAGAACTCCAGATGCATGGCTCTTATGTAAATGGCAGGAAGGAGCTGACTGGATTCCCAGTCCTAGCAAGATTGTAACGGCTAAAAATCCAGCTATCAACTCAAACTAAACCATTGACACTGAAAAAATTCACCAAGACAGGTGAAGTACTTAACATTACAAATCTCAACGATGTCTCATTTACCAGGACAAGCGCCAAGCAGTCTCATTTTCCATACAGTCAATTTAAATAACCCAAAACCCACATGAACAACAAGAATCAAGTGGCTCTACACTACAAGTTTCCAGAACTCCATTCCAGCAATCAATTTGTCATCTCTGACCCCAAAAAGTCTGTTTATTGTGTCTTTTTATTGTTTTAAAAAGCCCCTTTATCTACAAAACTATCTGAAGTTAATTCATCTTTGTGGCTGAACAGAGAGAAAGAGCAGCATCCACTGAACTGCTGACAAGCATCTGCAACACTTGCTCATTAATGATTTTGACCATAGTGACTCTGAATTGGAAAACCTGCTCCAAAAATCTGCTTTTGCAGAAAAGAAGTCTTCTCCATCTCTCTTACTCACCTTGCTCTACTACATATCAAGCCAAATATGATGACATGCAAGATACCCATGTACATTGTCACTGGAGTTCTCTGAAGACATTCTATGTGCCCAAGATGTTCACCACTCGAGGACGACTGTTCCTTTGAAGAAATTCTCAAAGTGATCACAAATCAAGTATGTTTTGTTTAAGACTGCATGATGGTCTTCTAGCCAATTACGTGCAAGACAAGTAACGCAAAGTAAAACAGGACCAACATACAGCACTGAGGTAATAATGTAGAGGAGTTTCAGATGCAGTACTGGAAGTGCCACTATCAAGAATCCATAAGATGGCTCTGCCATTGCTTTGGCTGTTGGGAGTATTTTTTGCAGTCTGGATGAATGGGCAAGTAACATACTAGTATTCATACATAATTATATTCCCATATCTGTCTTCAGAGAGATTGAGGCTTGCTAGTCACTTACATGCATAAACAGTACAAGGAATTAACAGATTAGTTTGAACAGAAATCAAGACACAAGAAACTACTGTCCCAATTCAGGCAGCACATTTGCACGCCATCCATCTTATGTTCTCTATAAGCAGCCATACAAATTTTCATAGCATCTGTATTTTGTCTATGCTGCCTCCTACTAATATCCTATTTAGTCACTGACAGCTTGCTGGAAAGATATAAAAGGAAATACTTTTTTTTTTTTGGTTATATAAAGTTTTAGTTCAAATATTTTAACTACAATGCCTTACATTGTAAGTTCAGAGCCTCCAGATGTTTAATTAGATTTAGAAACAACCTGAAGTTTGAAAGAATGAACTTATTCTTGCAAAATAATACATAAAAAAACCCTTTCATCCTCAAGAACTAGTTGTTTCCTACTACTTATTCCTCAGCTACAGACCACCTCAATCTGACATCACAATTTCCACAAAGGTTTGATGCCGTGGAGGACAGCAGCTTTTACAAATAATGTGTGGTGAACAGAAGCAGACAGACAAAGAAGCCGCAAAAGCTCTTTTCAAGAAAGCATTCTGGAAACCATTAAAAGATTTAGATGTGGCCCTAAAACCAGGGTTGGGAGCTAGTCGTCTACTGTTCTGATTCCAGCTCCAACTCCTATGCCCTTGTGAAACCACTGCCCTATCTCAGTTGTCCTTCATTCATTAGTTCAGCTTTCTCTAATTTAAAAGCAGTGAAATGTTTGTAATACACAGTCAATTCAGAGGCACTTTCCAGGAACCCAGTTTAACACTATTTCTCTACTTGTCTTCCACAGTTAACAACTCTTACCAGCACCACTCTACTCCACATTTACTCATCATAGTCAAACCAACTGCAGGCAGTTGTCCTCCAGAGCCTCACCCATAATTCTACAGAATCCAAACATAAGTTTTTCAGCCAAAGCCCTTAAACAAGGAAAAGACTTTGCTATGCTATCATTAAGCAGCATCTCAGGTCACCTAACCGAACTTTTGCCAATTTCATCCACAGAAAATGCCTACAAAGTAATATCTCTAAAGCCTTAAGGTAATTAAAAAAAAAAATGCATAACTAGGAAAAAGCACCGTGCAGAAAGTGAACAGAGAAGCACTTTCATACAGGGATCATCCTATGAGGTGCTTATCCTGGCTGAAGGCTGACTTAGATGCTTAGAAAGCTAGTAACACTTTCACGGGACCTGTAGCTGAGAAATTCTTTCCAAGTATGAGCAGACAGGACTTTAGCTATCCAGCTGTTGTATCCAGCACTTCTGAAGAGTGCTGCACTTAGCATAGAAATCACACATTCAGAGGCTTCTTTGAAATGACACAGCTTTCGAGCACCAAAACTGCTTCTTTTCTCAACAGAAAGAGCAGTTAGGAATTCTGGTACTCCTTAGCACCAAATTAGCAGGATGTAGCCTGACATGCATTTTAAGCAACGCAACAACAAAAAAAGCCTTTTGAGTTTATTTTTTTACCAAATTAGTTCCTGATCTGGTTCACCTTTCAGCTCTGATGGATCTTACTGGTATAAGGCAGGAGAACAGTCTGGAGTAGAAGTTGCTTCCAGTCTCCTGGCTTGAATGAATATCACACTGTAGCCTTAGAACGGGTCAAGAAAGCCTCAGTTTGAATACTGCAAACAGAAATCAGTTACACATTCCTTGCTTTCCATTTCATTAAGTAAAACAGATACTGGAAGAAACCCAAAACAAGCAACGCCTGAGCAGACCACAGACTGCTGGCAAATCATCAGCTAGAAATAGCTCAGTCACTTTAAGATGACAGCAAGACCCAGTCCTTTTGCATAACTTTTCATGCAGTTTGAAGCTTCGTTAATACCTGTAGAGAACAGCATGGGGGATAACTCTTGGCTGGTACAGGTATCTCACATGGACCACCTGGAAGCACTCAACGCTAGCACAGATAGAGGCTGGTGCTGGGCTGTACTTGCCTCAGTGATGACTTCTCTATTGAACAACCACCAGCACCAATTGCTGGCACTTAACTCTGTTCTCAGATACTGTAAGCAAACCAAATAAACCTGTTATAACAGAAAAAAATCTCAAGTCATTTCTTCAGCGAGCTTTTTCACTGCAGAAGTTAACTGTCAGGTTAGTTGGTCAGATGACCCGTGTTCAAAAGCAAATACAGTTCTTCAGCATACACCACCACCTCGTGGCCAGATGCCGGAACTCCCATAACTGAATATATTCTACAGTTCGAATGCTAAGTGCCTCTGAACTGAACACCACTGACAGACCCTCAGCTAACGACACTGTCATCCTGTGCGAGCTGCTCACAACTTTTTAACTACCTGTGAAGTGGGAAAAAGTACCCTACGTGTGAAGTGCTGTACCATTTGAGTTTTCAAGGCAGCTTACACAAGTGCAAGCTACTTACTTCATGCTATAACTCAAGGAAGCTGCTACTTACTAGGCAAATGAGACACAAGAATTTGTGGTTTCAACTTTGAATGCACCAAAACAAGTACAAATTTCCCCTTTCTTACTTTCATGATGAAAAAGGAAAACTAAGACCATAAAAACAGATATGCTGAATTTCTTCTCCTGATACATTAAGCCTATGGCTCTTGGAAACTGCCTCTAGCTCCCCAAGTGAAAAGGGATTTCGGAAACATTCCCATATTTACTTTAACTGAGGTGCAAACATCAAATTACCTTAGAGATTAAAATCAAAACCATTGTCCCTGCAGTAACCAGCACACAAGACTGTATAAGATACACAGCAAAAATACTCTGAAAGCAAAGTGGGAAAATAATAAAGGACAGACAATGGGGAAGAAAAAGGAGGCTAGAAAAGCTAGACACAGAACAACAACAACAAAAAAATCAACAGAAGACAATACTGTGTCTTAGATAAGACTAAGATGACTTACCTCCAGGTGGAAATTCTTTATGCTGTTATTAGGCTGATCTGCCAAGCAGGACAGTAAATTGATTTATTGCTCCAGAAATTCCAAGTCTACATGTGCTGACAGATAATTACAAATGTGCCCACTGAATGAGTTATTGGCCAAAGTGACAAAGAGGCTCTGCTTGGCTTCTCCCCCTTCTACATGCTTACTGTTAGGACTCACCAACAGTTGTACCATCTTCACCCATAATGCACTTCATGGAGGTGATGATTTGCTCCACAACAGGAGGTGACAGTGATGTTGCATACACAGCACTGTGAGAGGATGTCCTGAGATAATCAATCAGTTCCTAGCGAAAGACAAGAGGCATCAGACATTGCCTTGCCAGCACTCAGAAAAATGCTTTATTGTCGTGTCTTAATCACACAATAAAACAGGCCACCATAAGAAACCTCTTTCAGAATGTCCTGGAAGAGAACAGGTATCTCAAGGATTAGTTTCATGGTACAACTAATAGACAGTTGAAAAGCAAACAGCTTTTGGGACATTATAACCCATAAATATGCCTGTCACAGGGCAAGAATGCGTGTTGATCAAAACCAAATGCTTACAACAGACTTGTTCAGCCAACACCACCAGCATTGTACTGCAACAAGGTGCTTGCATTACTCAAGCTGAGCACAGGCTGTGTTTCAGAAGCATTTATTGTAACAGTGGGAGTAGAAAACAAATGAAATAGTGGGGAGCAGGATCCATAGGAGCTTATGTATCATGCTCAATATAACTGTTTCCCCACAAGAGTCACCAAACAGGGGAACAGGTCACAAAATATTTTCTCTCATTTATCAGCACAATATAAATAAAGCAGCAGGTGTAATTTAAGAGTGCAAGAACTTCAACCTAGCCCTCCTGCATTTCCCAGTTGAACATATCTGCTACAGTTGTTAAAGGGCAAAAGCAGGTCATATAGAAACAAGGGACCAACACATCCTAGATCTAGGCTGCTTTTGTTAACTGTAACAAAACCACTCTAAAATACCCAGACCACTCCAGCAAAATATTATAAAGACCAGCATGAATGCCAGGACAGATTCTGTCTTCTGCTACCATAAAATCGATAACGATGGCCATGTAGATAGCACAAGTGGGAACATATTACAGAAACAGGTGGATGTGTTCAATTTTGTGTTGCTGTCTGCCCGTAGTCAGTTAAATGAAAGGAAGTCGTAAAGGGACTTTGAAACAAATTAGGTAAGAGGCCTTAAGTCATCTGAAGCAATCCCTCAAACAGCAGCTAGAACACAGTTGTTAAGGACTCTTAGCTGCTTCACCTTATACCAAGGGAGTTAATTCCACTAGCTCACTACCTTTGGAAAAAAAGATTAATACGGTGCTTTCTTCTGGGAAAGATGTCAGAGTAATTTCAATCCAACCACAGTAAACTCCCAAAGAGGCACATCTGCAAGTCCCATGTACATTTAGATGGGCTGAAGTAATTGTCACTATTAGTAGCTAAAAAAATTATTGTCCTGGTAGGAAAATGGCAGAATTTTACTCTCAAATAAAGCTTAGAAGCCTGATCTGAGAGATACACTTGAGGACATGAGAAAGGGGACACATGCAATTGCCCACACCATCCCTCCCAAAAGGAAGGGTTTGGCAAGGGCAGCACTTTCTAGCAGTACTGTCCAACAAAAGACAGACAGTAGCCAAAAAACCAAAACAACAACCAACTACCAAAAAGGGAAACTGTTTGAGTCCAGAGGCAATCAATTCTACCAGACTAACCCAAGGGGATTTTCTTTCCAACAGGCTGAAAAACTTCAGCTTTTGGCATTTTTCCTGCAAGTCTCATTAAAAGTAGTATTAAGAAATGCCTGCTTCCTGGCTCCTAGCAGTTCCTAAAAAGATATTACACCACTACTGTACATTCTGCAAACTGAGATCATTGCTGACCATGTGAGAACTATACAATTACGAGGTATTTTACTAGACTATTCTGCATTGCACAGACTTTCACTGTACTAGACAGTATGTAAAATTATGAAATAGATGGACAGTCAGGGTACTTGAGAAACAGACCAACTTTGAAATGCGTCGTAGACTCCACACCAGCCTGAAACAACATGATATTCCCAGCTTTTTACCTTCTTGCCCCCAATGTATCCTCCAGCAGCTCCAAAGCTTTTGGTGAATGTTCCCATCATAACATCCACATCTTCAGGACTGAGTCCAAAATACTCCACTACACCCCGGCCACTGGGACCCAGGGCACCTATACTATGAGCCTCATCAAGGTACAGATAGGATTTGTACTTCTTCTTAAGGGCAATCACTTCAGGCAAACGGACTATGGATCCCTCCATACTGTCGAGAAACAGAAATTCAGTGTAAGTGGACTTAATGGTTGGGGCCTCCTTACAGAGCTTAAGATCACTAAGCTTTCTTTTCTTCACTTTTAGTAATTATGAACATAAAATTTGCTAGACACATCGAGTTCTGCAGAGAGATGAAAGAAAACTCCTCCTTGCACCTGGGGCCCAGGTGTCTACTTTCTACCCGTTGAACATCTCTGTGATGCTCAGACTAAGTGGTAGCAGCAACAGTTAAGTTTCTATAAATGAATTCTCATTTTTACTTCCACCTTAATGTCAGTATTCTGATCTGACATCTACTTACCGGTTGTTTTTAAGTTTAAGAACTGACTGGTGTCTCATTAGTAGCACTCCAAAATACCCCATCTTGTACCGAAAGTCACTACGCTTTAAATGCCTAACACGGCCAAGTCTACTACACACTCCTCACTCTCAGCAAAACATTCAATTTGCACAATTCCATTCACACTAGCATCATCTAGTGAGTACAGAAAAGAATGGAATGGACGAACAATTTAAGACCTCAGCTCTGATGTAAATTATCAGTTTAGACTAATTAATTTCTACAATCTAATCAGGATGTGGGAAGCATCGTGTGAACACTAGGTGCAGCTACAGTATTAGCAACAGAAAGTCCAGGATGTGAGACATATATAGCTCAATTTAATTCACAGATGAGATGAATGAAACAACTACAAAGTGACAATATTCACAGTTTGATTTGGCAAAGGAACCCAAATACTAAGCAGCTAGATCTCATGTGGAGGGTCTTAGGAATATAAAGAAGAGTTTGTACCTGTATATTCCTTCCACCAAGATAAGAATTTTTTTCCAGGGCCTCCGTGTACGAGGTTGCCCATGCACAATAGCATCTTTGAGCAGCTTCTCCAGGCTTTGCATATCTGCACCAGAAATTACCGTTAAATGGTACCAAAACAGCTACTAGCTTGAGCTTTGACATGACTAAAGATATCAATACTCCAGAAATGCACAAATTACTCCAGTGCGGAGGACAGACCATACATAAGTCAACAAGCATGGGCTTTATCTAGCTATGGGCCCACAGATGAGATTCAAGGGTGACCATGAAGTCCAAGGAAGAATTTCATCATCCTAAGCTAAAAGCACAAGTTAAAGCATTAGGCATAAACAGTAAACAAGGAAGGTGGGGGGTGTGGGTGTAAAAAAAGAAAAAAAGGAACGCATCTTATTGCAAGGAAAAAAAGTGAAAGCAATTTAGGTAGTAAGCTTGTCCTTGCGGACAGAGATAACTCAAAAAAGAACAAGGAAGCTCAAGGATAATCAACTAAAGATAAGCAGAAGATAGACCAAAGTGCAGGATAAGAAGGGGAGCAAGTGTAGTTTTTTATTACTTTGTTTAAAATTGAAGAGTCTGGAGGTGTGGACAAGGAAGCTACTAAATCAAAAACAGAAAATGAAGAAAAAGGAACTACCAGCGCAGGAAAGAGGACAGCGCCCAGCATATCAGGAACTAGACAGATGAAGCTGTTAGTAGCAATGTATTCTGTAACCTTACTAGCTTTCGCTACTAACACTTGACATGATCCTAGGAGACCTGACCAATGTGAGCAAATAAATACATACGAAATCGGTCCTGAAAAACAAACTAACAAACAACTGAGCAAAGGCGTGGAGGTCGGAGTAATCAAATAATAAAAGCTAAAGTGCTGAGAAAAACACAAATATAAAACACTAAGGCATGAAAAAGAGCTCAGCAATCATGAAGAGGGGAATGGTTGTAAGGCAGTTGTAGCAGTAAGAGGAGCTTGTGAACTTGAACTAGACTAGAACTCATACAGCAAAATAGGTCAGTTAACACACTGTTAAGAGATAGCTGACGTTCAGAAAAAGACAAAGATGAAGTAGTCAACAGTGGAGTCTCTGCCTCCAACAAATCTCTCAAGGAAGAAAGGATTAGTTTAGCTCAGTTAGGGAGAACAATGGAACATAAGCTTCTGCTCTGATCTCTCAAGGAAGAGGGAAAGACTGGGAACTAGGTCTGACCTTAATGAAAAGGACAAACCACAGAATAGGGTATAAAATCCTTGTTCAAGGGTTTCATTTTTTTAAGGGAGATTTTAAATTTTTTTCCTATAATTTCTAAAAAGCAGAGTATGAATGAAGCCATTAACATCAAGAAAATGAAGTTAACTAAGGCAGCACAGAATATAACAAGAGCAGGACTGAGAACACAAACATAACCATGAATTGAACATTATCTTGACAGGCCAAGATCATTACTTGCATTTTGCCTTCTGATTCTAAATCGCCACTCCATTCTCTTTTGCAGATCCCCACCACCTATAAGGTTTCCAGAATATCCCTAGTCTCACCACTGCTAGTTTGTACCCCATTCCCACAGATCATCTATTCTTCCTCATCACACCAGAGCTTCCAAGTCCTTTTCCTCATACCCAGAACTATGTTTGTCACCAGCATTCTCTGAAATTCTGGAGCTGGTTGCCATGTTCCGAAGTATGTCTAAACAAATGCACAAGTTGAATGCAAAGCTTTTGTGATCTTGCCCAGCAATCAAGATTTATCAAGAATAAAAAAAAAAAAAAAAAAATCATCACTGAATGTTACAGTAAGCTTTACACTTCTGTAAAGAAAATCATTCCAATGATAAAGAATAAGAAAGAGAGAACACAAGAAACAATACGTACAGCAGAGGATCCACTATCAAATCAAGCAGGACAAAGAAAGGAAAATAATTGCAGTCACCCAAGCTTTGCTGTCACCACCACACACTTCAAAGAGAGTAAGAGCTGTTGTGATCTCAGAGATCAATACTATAAAGAGTATTAGGAGCAGCTGAAGAATGAAGATAGTGGCTTTACCAATCAAGGACAACCAGGTACCTCTTTCACTGAGAAAAAGAGAAGGAAATCCTAAGTATTTTTAATCTGAAAGTTATTCTAAACACCTCCTTTGGAGGAAGCTGAAACTAGCAAAGTGACAATTCTGTGTATTTTGGAAACAGATACTTAAAGCAAGTAACTCAATGAAATTAACTATGCTTCACATCTCAAAAATTCCTTTTGTACTACTTTGTACCAATGCATGGCTAGTTTAGCTAGGACATCTGCATTAGTAAGCTTTTGTTACTGTAGGATCATGTCAGCATCTGGTCCTAAAATTAAACTTTCTTATCCCCCAAATTGTAACCTAGACCACTACAAGATAGCACTACTATGTGACAGACTGTTAGAATAGTCTGACCGTGCTGAGCTATCCAAGTAACAAGAAGCCATGTTAAAACACTAGTGCCCCTAGACATGCTGAAGGGCAGCATGTTCCTCTTCACATGCAGAAGGTTTAAGCAAGAACAGCTTCAGGATAAAAATGTTATTAGTTGAGACTGAACATATGAGAAAAAATAAAATATCCAATTCAGGATGATTAAATTCTCAGTAGCAGCATTCTTCTGACCTTTCAGGTAACCAGCAGTTGATTTCCTTGCATGAAATTGGATTTCCAACTATTAGAAGATAGAAGAGATTGTATCTGATCTATAGCAGATCTATCTGCAGAAAAGCAGAGGCCACCATCTGATACTTACTGTTGTGCTTAAAGATTCGAATAGTTGCTCCTGATAGTCTTGCTCCGAGCACTAATGATGCATGATTCAGTTCATCACTCAAAATCAGACAGCCCTGAATTAGAAGGGGAAAGAGGAAGATATTGAAAAGGTTATGTTTCACAGCCAAGCATATAACACCTTCCAGCTCTGAACTGCTTAGAAACCATTTAAGGAAAAAAAAAAATAAAAAATTTCCAACTTAAGTGCAGCTAGTCCAGGCAAGACTTGCTAAGAAACAATTTGCAGCCTTAGTATGGCAACTACAAATACACAACTGCTGTTAACTGAAAGAACGACTTAAGTTTCCCTTTTCCCAGAAGTCCTGCAGCGGAACCTGCCTGAATATCTCATGATGATTAGTACTCATCCTCCTATGCAGCCAGAGAGCAGAGCAGCTTGGCAGCTTGTTGCACTTCACTCAGCAAGCCTACAGTGGTGCTAGGAAACAGGCCACTGAAGTCCCAGATTGAAGACTTTATTGAAGTTGCACTATTTCTTACATTAGGAGGTAACCACTGACTAAACCCATGTGTGCTCAGTGGTACCAAAGCGGCTAATTTTCTTTAATGAACAGAACTATTAAGTATTTTGTAGATGAAGATAACATACAAGAGACAGAAAGTGGAAAACAAAATTAGAGAGTGAAATTGAAAAGTCTTCTGAAGCCATTAAACATTACACTTGCTTTTTCAAAAAAACGGAAGATAAATCCTTGGACAAATATCAAGACAGGATATGTCTGTTTTGAGAGCAGCAATGATTACAGGTCAACAGCTGATATATGCTGTGAACATTCAGTCACAGTGTGATCACTGTGGACTACAGGAATGCATATTGGGGGATTAGTTTGTAAAAGAACAGTAATATTTCTACAGAATCTTGGCCCACTCCAATTACTACGTAAATCTGCTGCAACTCTAGAAGTGACTTTAAGTTAAAAATCCAGAAAGCGTGTCAAGATGCTGAAGATTTGATACGAAACGTGCTCACTCTACGTTTCTCTAGTAACGATTGATGGAGGGAAGAACCAAGAACATTTATTCTCTGCAATGAGAGAGACTAGAACTGTGAAAAGCATTGCCTACAGTTACACAAGGTGTCACAGGCAGTAGGAGTATTTTCTCCACAATAAAGGAACTTTTGCACTAGAACTGCAATGTACCTAGAAATATTCTACATCCTGGGAAAGCTTGAGACTGGTTTTCCCCAGAAACTGCACTAAACCAGCAGTGTTCAAATTGCTGCTACAAGGATTCACGATGCATATTTCAGAGACTTTGGCACAAGAAGCATGGAAATCTCCAATTAGTGTTTGCTCTTTGCAACTACTATACCAGAGAAAGAGTACATATACTACGTATACTATGTCAGAGAGCATTGCTGTTAAACACTGCTGTATCAAAAACTGAATATAATAATCCTTCTTAAATGGCAGATAGTAGGAAAAGTGATAGATTAATAAGAGGAAGGAGAGATTAATTGTCTAGAAGGAGCTTCTCCATAAAAACAAGCACGAACTTTTGGTAGAGAAAGAAGGTTTAACAAATCTACGAGCAACCTCTTTTCACCCCCACCTGTAACAGTAGGGGACATTCAATTACACAAAATAAATTAAAACTGAAAGTGAAGTAAAGAGTCTAGTATTGTCTGAGAGAGGGCAAAGGATCAAAGAAGCCAGTGGTACAGTACACCAATCACTGACGACCATATGTAAAACTGAGTGCTGCTACTACAATGATAAAACTTCCAGTCACATTTATCAGCAAACTTACATTTGAGAGAGTATCCAGGAGAAGACTAACACTAATTGGAGATCATACTACCGGTTTCAAGAAAAACATATGCCAATGAAGATTACTTACCAATGCATCCTACAAGTCATATATAGAAACTGAAGCAAATGCCACATTTTTACCACAAAGTGCTGCATACATGAGTTGTGTAATTCAGTCCTGAGCACTTAATTTCACCAACTAACTATACATGGAAATTAATCTGTTCTCTTACAACCGAAAGAAGATCCTCCAAGCACCATTGCTCTAACTCCATTATTTAGCCTCTGTTAGTCCAGAGCTACTATGAAAAACTCTGTACTAAAGGCAATAGAGAGCACTGTTATTAGCTAGTTACAGTAACTACACTAACAACACTTATTCCAAAACAGTCAACTTTCAGAGTCTAGCTTAGCCTCAAATGGTCTAACAATTTCTGACTATGTAATCCTCAAATCTCACACAGTACCTGTGGTCTAGAGTCAGCATACTTGTCAGTGAGTGTACTAGGCAGTCAACAACTTGGCTGTCAACAGCAGGTCTCTACTGCTGAAAACTGCCAGGTGCAGAAAGACCTGTTTTTAAGCTATGTTTTAACAGTGCTGAAATACAACTTTCAGAGTACACCAACTAGACCTGTTTTAAGTACCTGCTTAGAGAAAGAAACGTGCTCAAAGAGCAGAAAAACAGAAGTAAAAGATATGTTCAGAGTAATAAATGTTAAAAAGGCATGTGAATAAATGTTAACTAGGTAATATTAATGAAGCTTTTGAATTCCTTTTGCTGACCACTGCTGATCAGGTTATGGGGTAGAGTTGGATCCCTAGGATAGTCAAGTCTATTTGTTGCTACTAAAAAGGGATTCAGTAGCAAAATAAACCAAGTGCTTAAGGATTCCACAGAGCAAAAACATAACAGGTGGTCCAGTATTACATATACGTGAGTAACTTTATTGCAGTGGATTGTGTTTTAAGCTAATGCCCAGATACTGTAATAGAATGTAAATAATTATTAGCTTCAAATCTTATCAGTGACTGTCAAAGAAACCCCTTCTGGTCAAATGTAGATGCCATTACTGATTGTATTTGCCAAACCTCCAAAAATTTGTGTTCCAAGCAGCTCTGCATCTGAAAATGTACATAGGACATGCAGAGACACACAAACAATAGTAAAAAACAAGAGCCCAAGAGTTTAATCAAGCATGAGATTCTCTGGGCTTTAGAGAGGACTGTCAAAGCATCGTCAGACAGGCTGTGCACACACAGCCAATTGTGGGTGGTGCCAGAACTCAGGATTTATGTGAGTCCTTATTTGCAGACAATGAAGAAATCGACAGTGCAGTGAGAAGCAACTTCAGGCAGCCAAAAAAAGCATTCAGTGAACGTTCTGAACTATGAAATGGTTCAGCTGACAAGAACTCTTCTCTTCAGAAGAGGTTTGTTTCGAGTATTCACCTGAGTATAAGGGCACTTCTAGTGCTGTAAGGCATAAGCTTCTTACCAATTTATTTAAAGTGCACAAAACCTAAGTGTGCTCATTGCTGACAGTACACATTGCTGTATCCATTTATGAAAAGTGTTTGTTTAGTAACCGTGCAAGTTATGTGCATGAAAACAGGAATGTTACATGCCTTGAAATTTACTGTTCAGATGCTCTCAATGGTTGCAAAAACTTAAAAGTTCAAATGTGAAAACTAAGGAGCTGAGTAAGGTGTCTCAAGGGTATTTGTATAAGATAAAGATATACAGTGGGATCCACATACACAGAAAAAAGATTGAGTAACTTTGCAGTAATAGGCAATTCATAATGACTCATAACAGACAGAAGTCTACTTAAATGTATCTGACCATGTGTGTTCTGAATCCGAAAGGTCTCAAAAATCATGAATCATTTTTCTTTTGAAAAGAAAAATTGGGGAGATGCGGGAAGACAAAGAGCAGAAAAACAGAAGTAAAAGATATGTTCAGAGTAATAAATGTTGTTCAAAAATCACAGCACTGCAGAGGTATTTTGACTCCAGAAAGACTAGATTTGAAGCACTGCATTTCTCTCTGGCACCAGACTCAAAAAAAAAAAAATCTTTCATTGTGGAAAGCATCTGATATGCAAAACCTAAGAGACCAAAAGAAAAGAGGCATTATGTAGACAGTGCTGCTTCACTGTTACAAATGAAAGTAGCATGCAGGAAGACACTACAGCTAGTCAAGAAGAGATTCATCAGGGCCAGGAAGAACAAGACAGCAATTTTATACTCTGTAGATGTCACAAGTGGAAGAATTTACAAAATTCTACCACAAAGTGATCTCAAGAAGTAGGAAAACCAATAAATGGAATAAAGGGACAATAATTCACCACACAGGGACGAATAATTCCAATAGGTTAGTAGTGCTAGGCTAATAGTGAATCACTTTCAAAAAGAGGAAACAGTTCCAGTACTTCCACTATTTTACTCTAAGTAGGAGCTAACAGAATATATATTTTTGCTCTCTTCCATCGTATTTTCCAGTAACTAAAAAAATGTAAGTTTGAGATGCAGGACACTCAAGCTGCATTGTGTATTGTTTTATGGGGCACACAGTAGACATCATCAGTCTTTATATTTGAACTTGTTTCCCTTAAATAGCTTTTCTACTAGGATTTTGCTCCTTGCTACTGGTCCCATGGATGCTGTTTCCCAAAAAGACTTCTGCAAAGGTTAGAGATGCATCCCATGACCTACAGTTTCCATACAGAATTATCAGTAGCGGTTGACACTGAAGAAAAACAAAACCAAACAAGTAGCTTTTAGAAAACCCAACCAGACAAATCTGTTAGATGAGCTTCTGTCAGTGACTTAAGCCATAC